TCGAGGCCAGCCTGGGCTACCAAGTGAGCTCCAGGAAAGGCGCAAAGCTACGCAGAGAAACCCTGTCTCGAAAAACCAAAAAAAAAAAAAAGAATGTGCCACCATGCTCAACCAAAAAAAAAAAATTAAAAAATTATTTTTAAGATTTATTTTTTAATTATATGTATGTGTGGGTGTGCACATGTGAGTGCAGGTGTCTGTAGAGGCCAGAGGGGAGTGTGATATCCCCTGGAACTAGAGTTATAAATGGTTGTGAGTTGTCTAACATGGGTGCTGAGAACTGAACTCAGCTCTTCTGCAAGAACAGCAGAAGCTCTTAACCACTTGAGTCATCTTTCCAGCCTCAGGAACTTATTTTTGAACTGAGTCTTAAGGGATATTGACTATTGTGGTTCATTACTGAGCACCTACTATGCTGAACAGATAATCAAGAAAAGAAGGGTGATGAAGTTCCAGATAGAGAACCAAATGCAAAAATACATGAAAGTGTTTTGGATGGGGAAGTACAAATAAGTTTGACTTGAATATAGGGTGGTGGCTAGGTTTGATTATAAAATAAGATTGGGGTGGGAGGGTTAGACCCAAATTGTGAAAGGCCCAGTAAGTCACACTAAACCAGTAAGAGAGGAGAGAGGTATAGTTTTAGTAAATACCATTTAGGAAGTTATCCAAATAATGAAGTGGAGATGAATGAGATTTGGAGACCAGTAAACAAACTCTTAACAATAGCCATGTTGAAAAACAAATAAAACCTAACAATTTGAACAGTTTAGAAGCATGAAGAAGAGACCTGGCATGCTTGCATAGGCCTTTAATCCTAGCACTCAGGAGGCAGTAGCAGCCAGATCTCTGTGAGTTAAAGGATAGCCTGGTCTACATGGTAAGTTCCTGGATAGCTAGGGCTCTGAAGAGAGACCCTGTCTCAAGAAAGCAAAACAAGCCGGGCAGTGGTGGCGCACGCCTTTAATCCCAGCACTCAGGAGGCAGAGCCAGGCAGATCTCTGTGAGTTCTAGGGCCAGCCTAGTCTACAGAGTGAGATCCAGGACAGGCACCAAAACTACACGGAGAAACCCTGTCTCAAAAAACAAAAAGACAACACAAAAAGAAGCAATACAAATGGAAAGGTTGAGCAGATTATATAGGTATTAAGAGAGTAGAATTGATACTTGCACCAGATAGAATGTTGTGTGTGTGTGTGTGTGTGTGTGTGGTTTTTTTTTTTTTTTTTTTTTTTT